CAAGCACCAGTGAATCGGGAACTTGGAAATACGCCCGAATTTCAGACTACCCTCAGCATCCACGAGGGGCTCCCCGTCCACGTCGACCACCACAGTTTCCGATTTGAACAAGGAGTCCAAGGCGGTTTGGGTGACCGGCTGCAACACGTACCATTTATCTTTAAAGTCCCTTACCGAATCCATATACATCCTGAACAACCTCTTCGACTGTTTTAGGGATACCCAGTTGTGCCTGCCTTCTCGAGACTGATGCTGTAGGTGAAAGACCCTGAAGAAAAGAGGAATCGTCGCCCCGATTCTCAAGAAACGGAACGTCAGCTCGAACGCCCGAAGGAAGGCGATCGCGTTGGGGTGAAGCTGCGAAGGGGCCAGATTCAGATGACTGAACACCTCGACTTGAATGTCGTTGAAGGGTATCTTAAGACCGAGATCCCTGAACACGACCTCGTACATGGGGAACGTGTACTCAGTAAACTCCGAGAAGATACGCGCATCAATCGTCGGCCTCATTACTATAAAATTCTTTTGAAAACCTGGCTGACTGCCACCGTGCTCGATGATAGTATAAGCACGCCGACTACGCCGACAGTATGCCGAAGCAATCCCCCGGGGCTCGGCGCCCACCCAGTCCAACATAGGGTCATCAATGGTGTCGACTAATGTAACGTTCTCTTTCGTGCTTGTTTCCTCGGCGTCATTTTGCCTCGAGGATTCCGAATTGTCGCCCATTTACCCGCAAAGCACAGGAAACCGGTGAATTCGAGAGCAAATCCACGCGCTCGCCATAGAGGCGGGAAGAAGTACACAACAAGCCGAACACAGACACCCTAGCTCCGACCATGCAACGGGGACAGCACGAGCGTAGCATGAGCGCCCCGGGCGAATCATGAATCACTCGAGCAAGTCCTGACTTCGCCTATCCGACACTGGGATACCGCGAGGAGACTACCCTACATACTTCCTAAAAGGATGAACATCCCGACCAAACACATGAAGATCACGTGCAATATCATGAGCTATACGCCCAAAACTATGAATCTCATGGGCAATATCAACAATTATGTGCCTAAACTATGAATACCACGGGCAATCTCATAAATTAGGTCCCTAAACTATGAATATCTGGGGTACAGTCATGAATCTACCAGTCATTACTTCCAAATATGTAGTTCCAGTATCAAAAATGGCATCAAAACTACCTACAATGAAGAAAAACATGAGGAACAGACACTTACTTGGAAGAAAAGAGGTACGAACGACGGCAGTGGAAGTAATCAACGGTGGATGGTGCGATGATCTCACAGCGTTGCAGGAAACAACGGTAGCGGAATCAGAGAAAGAGGGAGGAGCGTGAAGAGGAAAAACGAATTATGGGTCAAAGGGTCCTATTTATAAGGATGACGTGGAATATGAAACGTCGCACCGGGGAGACACGAACTTCCCAGTCCTCGATATCTACTCCCCTAGGCAATGATGCCCCTATTTTTCTAGGTCGGCGTTACGATTCCCAAGGACTGCCTCAAGTATCCGACGAACGCAGCCCGCTAGGAATTCCTCGAGCACGCTTCGACAAGGACTGCCCCACGTATCCGACGAACGCAGCCCGCCAGAAATTCCTCGAGCACGCTTCGAAAAACAAAAGCCCTGGTCCGGGCATCAGGTCCCCACGGTAAAAGCGAGCTAAGATCAAGTCATAACTCCTGCACCAGGAGCAACGACTTGGGGGGATCCTGTTCTGGACTGGGCCCACCTTGGCCCAAAGTACAAATAAAGGCCCAGATCCAAGCGGCTCCTCGGGGGGACGCCCACAATCAGTATATCACCAAAACATGCCCGACCACGAACTACACCTGCTACGCCCGTCGTCGCCCGCGACGAGCAGCCTCCTGACCAGAGGAACTCGAGCTCGAGCCCAACTCGAGCACTCTCCCCGTAGGGCAGATTCTGTCCACTATAACTGTTATGGAATCCTCAAAGCTCCGGAAAGACCGCGTCCTCGTCCTTCCTCATTCTTCGCAGAGCATCACCAGGAAGGGGACCACGTGCGGGTCCCCACTATGCACGTAGAACCTGGCAGTTCCTTTATTGGGCCAGTTCTGGTCAGCCTAATGAGGGGACCTTGGCCCAGCGCTGGGGGCTATAAATACCCTCTGTTCCAAGAGGGTTAGGTATTCATCTATTACACGCCTATACACTTTTTGCCTGCCCATTCCGTATCTCGTTTTAGCATCGGAGTGTCTTGCAGGTACCCCCCCTCCCCCATCTCACTCAAATCCAGTTCGAGCCAACTGTGACGGTCCAAGTCTGATATGGTAAGATCACTTTTTAAATAAGAATGTCAAAAAAAATGAAAGAATAAAAAATATTTTAAGTGATCAAAATCGAAATAAAATGAGAATAAAGATATCAGTTGAACAAATATTGATAATTAAAAAAGAGACTGTAATCGACACCAAAAAAATAAAGCGAGCATACCAATATGATCTACACGCAACGCAGATTCATAAAACAGTCAATAAAATATGAAAACTCGAAATATTTTTCCGCTAATTTTCTGTGCAGTGTCGATTCGCTTTTAACGGTCTGTTTGTAGAATCTATATATTAATATTATCGACATATAAACAACTTGATGCAATGCAAGAAGTGAATAATATGATAAAAAAATGTATGAAATGAGATAACGGGTATTTTTTAACTCTAAAACGATGCAAATGTTCATTTAAGTTGACTTTTGATCAGCCTAAATGTATGGATGACCTACTAATGATGCAAATGCGATGAATGAATGACCCTGGGGTAAAATTGGGGTATGACAAGAAGGTATAGACTATGATGAGGTGTTTGCATCTGTAGCTAGAATAGAAACCATACAACTGGTTATTGGTATTGCGAATAGCAACAATTGATCGATTTATCAAATGAATGTGAAATCCGATTTTTTGAATGGTCCACTTGAGGAGGAAGTCTATGTAGAACAACCTCATGTTTTTGTTGTGACAAATCAAGAGGGAAGAGTCTACAAATTGAAGAAAGCGCTCTATGGTTTGAAACAAGCTCCTACAACTTGGAATAACACATTGATAGTTTCCTAGTTAACATTTACTTCAAGAAATATGTTTTTGAACATTGTGTCTATTTGAAGACGGATACAAGCAAAGACGTGATCATACTTTACTTATATGTGGATGACTTATTGATCACAAACAACAATAAAGTGAGTATTTCTAAGTTCAAGAGTGAACTTTTACGGATGAGTTTGAAATGAGTGACCTTGGAATCATATGACTTTCTTTTTTTGGCATAGAGTTCTACAAGTCAAAATTGAGATTGCTCATGCATCTAAGAAAGTATGCTCTTGAGATTTTGAAAAAATGTGATATGGAGCATTGTAATGTTTCCAATACATCTGCTGACGCGAGGTTACAACTGTCCAAAAGTGATGATGAGAAGAATGTGGATCCAACACAATATAGAAGATTGATTGGATCGTTACGTTACTTGTGCAATACGCGGTCAAATTTGGAATTTAGTGTCAGTATTGCAAGTAGATTCATGGAGATACCAAAGGTGTCTCACTTGGCAGAAGTTAAGAGGATCCTAAGATATATCAAAGGAACTCTTGGTTGTGGAATTCTCTTTTCCGCAGCTGATACAGGCAAAAAATGCGAGTTGCTCGATTACACGCATTCCAGTTGGTGCAAAAATAAGGACGATCGAAAGTCTACAGATGATTATGTCTTTATGTTCGGAGGAGCTCTAATCTCTTGGTGTTCTAAAAAGGAATCTGTGGTGGCATTCTCTTCTTGTGAGGTCGAGTATATCATTGCATCGTTGTGTGCATGTCAGATTTTGTGTGGCTTGTGAATCTGCTGGAAGAGCTGGGCAACAAGATTGAAGGAGCTGTCACACTCTTGGTTGATAATGTTTCAACCATTAATCTTGTTAGGTAACCCATTGCACATGGGAGGAGAAAGTATATCGAGATGAGGTTTCATTACTTGAGGGATCTGGTGTGTGCAGGCCAGTTGAGATTAGGATACCGTCGAAGCGAAGAACAAGTTACAAATTTGTTAACGAAAAGTGTAACAAATGTGGTATTCAAGAAGCTTGTGATGAGTTTGGGCATGCAGAACTTGAATCATTTGCATTAAGGTGGTGTATTAGAAGTCCTTAATAATTCAAATGCATTGTGGAAGCTTCTGGGATCGTTTCGTTGAAAACAGTTTATCGAAAAAGCATTTTTGGAAATCTGGAAAAACAAAGTTTCGAATAGAAAATCAATTACCCAGTTTGGAGAAATCGATTTCCACATGTAGTTTCAGTTTTCCATTTTTGTTTTTAGTTGGAGAAATCGATTACTCTCTTTTGGGAAATCGATTTCCACCCTATGTTTTTTGTTTTTTGAGCGGTTTCTGGGGTCTGTAGACATATTTTGAAGGAGAAAACAAGTGATATATTGACAGTGTAAAATAATTTTACAATGTCAATCAATCACAACCATGTATCTAATTATATCTTATTTTCATTTTAATTTTTTTTTAATAACATGATAAATTATTAACTTTCTATTAGTTGATTGTATAAAAACAATTTACACTGACTGACAATATATAAAATTATTCTCATTTTCAGAAATTCAAGTTGAAACTTAAAATACCTATGTTTGTTACAAGAAAATAAAAAAATATTTCCATGAAAAATTAATTCTCAAAAAAAGAATTTTACTTATATTGTATGGCTTTCTAATATAGTGTCAGAATCTTTTATTCCCTAATGTTTACCAAATTTTATGTATAAATAGTGTGACATGAGATGACAAATATTTGTTTTGTTGAATAGATGACATGTCTTAGGTGGAAATATATGAGGAGGACATTGAAGTAACCACATCAACCTCAATTTATAAAAACATTAAAACAACAACAATAAAAAAACAGTGGCTAGTTTTTGTTTTCTTGTTTCACTTCAACTATTGAAGCTTTTTCTTCTTTTGCAACAATGCTGTTTTCTGCTAAGTTTTCTCCTACTCTCAACCTTGCCATTTCTTCAACTACCAAGTGTTGTAGCAGAAGAAGAGAATCAAGGAGAGGGTTGAATAGTATGAGAGTAAGAGCTAGCTCAACACAAAAAGATGAAGATGAGAAATCTTCCTTCAATCCTTTTGGATTTGTTACTGATAATGCATCAAGCCGTAGTGCCATTCAATTGCCTGAAAGCCCCGCTGAAGATGGCAACGTTGGACAAATGATTGATGTAATGTTTTTGCTCTTTCTTATATTTCAATGCTTTTAACGATTGTTTTTCTTATGATGATCACTTGCATGTTTAGTTCCATTTCTGGAGTAGATTATGAATAATTGATTTTGTCTAAAAGTGATTTTATGTTTGGATTAATTCTTACAAATTCAGTTTAACCAGAAATTTCAGTGTAAAAATCACACGTTTAGACTCAAGCTACAAATTCTACCTTCGGCTAGAATTAATTTTGGAAAGTATTACCAATTCTACTCGAGAACAACCAAACATGTCAGAATCAATTCTACACATCCAGAATCAATTCTAAGTGCTTCAACCGTGAAATTAGACATACACTTACTTTTGTTAGTCTTCAAATGACTCATGTTTGAAAGAGATTACAAAAGCTTATGATATGTCTGTAATCTGTTATCTCTCCAGTTTCACAAGTTATTCTCGATAGTTCATTTTCATAAGTGTTTTTGGCTTATGCTTATGGATGTTTACCATAGTTTCTTCTTCGGTTGTAGAGACAACTTGTACATAGGTTCTTATAGATAAGTGCTTATTTAAGTTATTCGTTCAAATGCGGCTTTGTCTGATTTTGGATAGTGATACTGATGATGTTTGTTGTTTGGTTGGAATGTAGTAACAGTTTTGTGATTTTTGTATTCCTAGAAAATACAAGACAAGGGCAAGGAATTTGGGTCATATGTGAAATCCGGGAAGTTGAGATGGTTTGTGAGGGAAACTGGTATCATTTCTTTATTGTGGAAGTATTTTCATCTCTATTTTTCCTTTTAAGCAGTGTTTGGTAAAAAAACATTCTTGCTTTTTCTTCTCCTTTTTGCAGGATCAGCAAAAAGCAGACGAGGCACAATCGTTTTCCTTCACGGTGCCCCAACACAATCTTTTAGTTACCGAGTCGTTATGTCTCAGGTTAGCCCGAATAACAACGTAGACCCATTCTATTTTATTCCATTTCATTCTATTTGATTCATGTCCATAATCCAAAAATAGCCTTAAACCTATGTCACGATTCGCCAATAATTGTATGCTGTTATACAGTTGGCAGATGCAGGGTTCCATTGCTTTGCACCTGACTGGATAGGATTTGGTTTCAGCGATAAACCACAACCAGGATATGGTTTTAATTACACAGGTGTTGTTATGATTGATTTTATATCACGATTAATTTTTGATTCATGCATAAATCTCGTACATATATTGTTCTTTCTTGATTTGTATAGAAAAGGAGTTTCATGATGCATTGGATAAACTTCTTGAAGTGTTGAAGATCGAATCTCCGTTTTTCCTAGTTGTTCAGGTATCTAAAGAAGGATGAATACAATCGGGTGAAGCATTATAGTACATTTACATTTCAGGGACTATTAGGATTCGTATGAATTGACTTATTTAAACTTAACTACTGAAATAATAAACATTTGCGAGGCCGTTTAGGAGAGCTTATGAAAATAGCTTATAACATATCTATAAGCTGTGTCTAACATCATATATACAATCACAATTCCTCTTAAGGGATTTCTTGTAGGTTCATATGGATTAACATGGTCCTTGAAGAACTCAAGCAAGATATCAAAGCTAGCAATACTAAACACTCCATTAACCGATTCATCTCCCATTCCTGGACTATTTCAGCAGCTAAGGTTTGGTGCTCTTATATCTATTGAGATATGTTAATTGTTTGGTTTTGAATCTTGTATCATATTAAATCCTTTGAATCGTTTTGTTTTGTTTCTAGATTTCCTCTATACGGTGAATTTCAATGCCAGAATGCTATTATTGCTGAGCGGTTTATTGAAGCAGGTAGCCCGTATGTATCCAAAACTGCATTTCATTATTTGCTGGTAATTTTGTTAATTGACGTTTTTCCTTTCAAATGTGATTTTAGTAAAAAAGAAGCAGATATTTGATTATTGTTAAGCAAAATTGATTTTATAGTTTATCTTCAATTTGACTAAAGGGCAGTCTGTTTGGATTGACTTATTTGAGTTTATTTACTGCCACAAGAGCTAGTGATATTGTTTGAGAGAGCTTATGGAAGCAGTTTCCGATTTTTCCATAAGCTGTTTTCAACTTATTTGGATAAGTCTGTTTGTAATATGTAAGGGGCTTTCTCTTATTGATGCATTATTCTGCAGTTATGTTCTGAAAAATGAAAAGGCTGATGTTTACCGGCTACCGTATTTGGCAAGCAGTGGACCTGGATTCGGTTAGTCACATCATTTTGATACCTTGAATTTTCTGAATTTATTTGCTGTCAAAATATAATAAAAGTGTTGAAAATGCTACACGCTTATAAAGATACGAAAAATGCAAACAATGTACACAATGTTTGTTAACAAAGTTCGGCCACTTGTGTCTAAATCTTCAACTGCAGAGTAATACTACAGTTCATTTCTATTATTTCTAGCTTAGAGTTTACGGTATACAACGTATATTTTTTTAAATACTATGATCAAGATTATAACATTAATCTGAGAAAAATAATACATTTTGCTGACTTTGAGATAGCAATAATGAAGTTTCTGATGTTGAATTTCAGCTCTACTCGAAGCTGCAAGAAAAGCTAATTTCAAAGGTACTTTCAGTGAAATAGCAGAAGGATTTGCGACTAACAGGTATATTTATATGATTAACTCTTAAGCTATAAACGCCAAGTTGTTTATCCAAACAAGACCGCGTTTTTTTGTTGTTGTTGTAGATGGGATAAACCTGTACTGCTTGCTTGGGGATTATCAGACAAGTACTTGCCACAATCTATAGCTGAGGAGTTTCAGAAAGGAAATCCTCAAAACATCAAACTTAAATTGATAGAAGGAGCCGGTCATATGCCGCAAGAGGATTGGTAAGAGTAACTTTAACATGATTCTAATGCATTGTAGAAAAATTTATTCAATCTCTTATACCTTCGTATTTTTCGACAGGCCTGAGAAAGTTGTTGATGCTTTCAGAATGTTCTTTTGAAGGCATCCATGATGTGTTTACTCAGTTGAAAGGGCAATTCTGAGTTTTTCCTTAATTGTAAATTTAGTTTGTCATATATTATCCTATGTTTCTTTTTAAAAAAATTGAGGAAATGTATAGAAATGCTCTTGAAGTGATAAAATGAGAAGTAATGATCTTGCAAATGATCTATTTTCTAATAACCAAGTCTATAAGAAACATGTATACTAAGGTTGAGAGACACATATTAGATGCAAACATATTTTAACTTTAGTCTACTACAAAAGAATACTAATTATATGCTTATCATTCAAATATTTTGATCATCTATCAACATTCCATTGATTAATCATGTAAACATATAATTTAAACAAAAAAAAGGCCAAATTTATACTCTACTACTTTTATATAATTAATATGAGTAAAGAAGAATCACTTTATTACCTTGTTAAAGTTCCATACAAAGTGCTTATATAAAGAAGGATTTGATATCTTAGAGAATGTATAAAAGTCATTGGAATTCATCAGTGGCTGCAACAAGAGCTCAATATTCTTCTTCTGAGGAAGATCGTCAAACACTCAATTGTTTTCTGGTGCGACATGAAATTAAAGACTTGCTTAGGAAGAAACATTAGTCTGATATGGATCTCCGAGATTCCATACATCCCTACCATCAACATTTGAAAACGAATCAATTGCACAATAAATTTTTTAGGGAAGAACAAACCTCGAGTAAGACACGGTTTAAAGTATATGAGCATTCTTATAGCTATATTATAGCGTGTGCTTGTTGGAATGGTGAGGAATTAGCCCAGTTGTTGTGTAATAAAGGTGACATATGGGGTTTGTGGTTGTGAGATATAGCAATATGTCAATCAAGTGCCTATAAGAAGTTATATCTAAGAAGGCATGACCTGTGTTCTGATATAGCTTGATTGGTGGGTCAGCCGAGGTAGTGACAAGTTTGGAACCAATGAGGTATGCATCGGAGAAGATAATACTTCCTTTGGTATAGTATAATCTCTTTCTTATAATGAGCAACCTTGAGGCCCAAGTTTTTATATTGAAATTGTGGTGAATCACTTGTTTAATGTTGTCAAATTAAATTATGAAATTTTCTGCAATAATGATATCATCTACATAAATCAATAGCAATGTAAATGACTTATGAGTTTTCTTGATGAACAAGGAATGACCTGCATTTGATTAATGGTAATTTTGTTCAAGTATAAGTGATATGGGCTTCTTATGCCACTTCCCACTAGATTGCTTAAGGCCATATAAGGATGTTATGAATTAGCTTACTTGATTAGGTTTAGAATGAGTGATTCCAAGTGGTTTTGTCATATAAGCATCTTATTGTAGCCCACAGTAGTGTAGAAATGCATCGTTTATATCCAAATAATGGATGAACTAGTTGTTGATTATAGTGATAGCTATAACCAATCAAATTATAATGAGTTTTGCAACTATTGAATATGTATCAAAATAGTCAAAACCCTCAATTTAATTACAACCTTTTTCTACCAAACATACTTTGAACCTTTCTATTCCTCTATCAACATGGAGTATGATTTTGTATATCCATCTATATCCGATATGTTTGATGTGAGTGGGAAAATCTACAACTTCCTACGTATCTGTTCTTTATAGAGTTGAAAGTTCATCTTGCATTGCTTGATTCCAACATTCAAACTTGCTAGTCTCAACATATGTCTTTGGTTTAGTTAAGATGTTAATGGACATGATATAATGGCTAAATGGGAGATAAAGTAGAATAAGACAAATAATGAGAAATAGGAAATTCATAAGTGAATAGAGTGATTTGAAACATTAGTCAATGAATTGCATACATAATCTTTGAGATGTGGTGGAGGGTGTTTGATTCAAATGGAATATTGTATTGCTTGGCTATGTCTGATAGATTCATGTAGGTTAGGTTGGTCATGTCTGACAAGTTTTGTGTCAGTATCATCAATAATTTCAGGTTCAAGATGGGTTACATGTAAATGAGTGTTTGATAGAATGAGATTTGGCTCAAAAGTGGTTAAGGAATGTGTATGTTCAAGGCTTTGTATAGGAATAAGTTGTGTAGTATTTAATGGATATATTTTCTAATTATTGGGGAAACATATTACTTGTACGTGAAAGAATCAAGTGTTTATGAAATGATACATTTCTTTATATGAATAATTCTTTTAAGTGAATTTCAAATAGAACATATCTCTTAAGGTCTGCCTTGTATCCAATGTTTGGTTCGATGAGATTGCACACGTGATGCATAAACTAAACAAAAGAGATCTTGAATGAATTGAGAAGTCTGTGGTGTTTATGATTGACAACAATTTTGCTAAAACATATTTCATAACAAGATATTATGTCAAATGTCTTGACATATTGTACAGACACTACTGGAGTCAAATGTTGTGATAGATTTCGTAACATGTTATACCAGAACATCAATGCAGTTTTATGTTTTACTTTTTAGAAGATTTGTTTTTAAAATATGAGATTCTATTTGATTTTAGTTCTTATACTGTCGCATCCAAGAAAGGTTATTTTAGGAACATTAGTTCTATAGAAGAATTGCCTTTGTTTCATAAAAAGAATCTTGTAGACTTTTTAGGAAACTTTCTATTTTGTTCTTATTACTGTGCAGAAGATTTATTGGTGATGTTTGGATATGTGTTTTATCTGATTGAAGAGCTCAAACCCTATGCTTATCATTAGCTATATAAAGGAAGATTCTAAACCCAATTTTGTAACTAAGTCGTGTATTGAAAGAAGAGTTTTAGGGTTTAGTTTGTTTCTTTGTTATTTATGATCCACTCTTTAGTAGAGTTAGACTGTGTTAGTTGTGAGTCATTCATGTATCTCTTAGATGCTTGAATTGGACTTTCTTTGAGTTGTAAATGGCAATCACTCACAATCTTTTAAACAATAGTGGATTGTGTGTCAAGTTATCTTTGTTCATCAATCATAAACTCTTAAGCATAATTGATTGTTTGTCTTTGAAGAGTGTCTTCTATCTTTTGTCTATTATTGTTAGTTTGTCACTGGTTTGTGACTGAGGGGAAGTGAGAGGAGTCTCATATATAGGATTTCTTAGGTAGAAATTGCATGGGTAGTGATTAGGTAGAAGTTTATAAAAATAAGGATTGTTTAGATCTTCAAACTAATACTATTGTAGTGAATTTCCTTCCTGACTTGGATGCTCTCAGATGTAAGTGATGTTACATCGAACCGGGTTAACAATTAACTGTGTTATTTACTTCATGCATTATTTCTTATTTTAACTGTCAGTTTTATAATATCGTGACATCTGGTTCGACATCTTATATTAGAACGTGGGCACGACATCGTGTACGATATTTGGACTGTCAATACCAGAATTTCAGAGATCAGGTTCTTTGTCGTATATCATGGTGTAATTTGATATACTTTGTAAAATATGTATGATTACTCTATTGATGGGGAAAATATCAGGGTTAAAAGCGTGACCAATATTGCTTTGGAAGTTTGGATTGATAAAGTAGATTTATGCCAACATTCAGGATATGCTTATGTTTTCTCTCTACTCTACCATTTTATCGTGGAGTTTTAACATGTGATATTTGGTGATGAATGTTTTTGGATGTGTAAAATGTTGGCAAAGAAAATTCAGGACCATTATTAGTTCTAATAACTTTAGGAATGGAATTATGTTGATTTTCAATCAATTTAATAAATGACTTAACATGTGTTGAGACCTCATACTTAGATTTAAGTAGAATGATTTATGTGAATCTATTGAAATCATCAAGTATGGTTGAAGTTTTTTTGTGTCCATGTATAATATGGGTTGAGATAGGCCCTCACATGTCAAAAATGAGATAACACAAATTTATTAATGGCACGTGAAGAACTAACATTATAAGGAAATTTTCTTTGCTTTGCAAAAAAGACATATGTCACAAACATATTTATTGTCATTTGAAATAGATGGATATAATTTTGATATGTCATGACATTCTATGACTAAAAAAGTGTCTTAATCTAAAATTCCAAAGAGATGAAAATAGGATAGAATGATTTTGCAATATAGTATTGTGGTATTGGTAATTTTGAGGAGATGTATATAGCAGACATGGTCTGATTTTGAGGTTTAGCATCCATCACCAGACCAGCTTATACAATCCTTGCACTTGATTAGCTAAACCAATCTTCATCAAAGACTTCATATCCTATAAATAACAACGATTAAGTGTGAATTTGATTGTACAAGTTAAATATTGACATAACTTTGACACATAAATTAAATTCAACCTGAACTCATGTGAATAAAAGACATTGGTCATATAAACATAAAGAGAAAATTTAACATTGCTAGAATAGGTCACTTAGATAGAGTTATTATTTGGTAAGTGAACTTTAACATGCCTGATGTGATAAAATGGCTCAAACAAATGCAAAAGAGAACATATATGGTTATTGGCTCCAAAGTAAATAAGCTAACAACTAGAATTATTGCTTACACAATAAGAAATGATATTATTTGTACTTGAAGAAATAGGCTCAATGGTGTATATGACCATTGTGAGGAATGTTGGATGTGTTGATTTGGTTAGAGATGAATCTAATTTGGTGATTTACTGAAGGAATCAAGTTTTCTTGTTGAAGTAATCATACAAGAATTCTATTTGAGTTATGTGTGTCATAGAAAGCGTTGCTAGATGTATTAGTAGATGAGGTGAGCTTGTTAACTTATGGATGACCAGTTGCTAATAACAAAATGCAATAGTCTAGCAATGCATATTGCAATGTATGCAATATCTAGAGTTGGTCTTACCACTACCTCCATAGTTAGCGCCTCTACCTTGACTATAAGCTTGTTTGTCATCATAAGCATTGACTAATAGGCTTATTCTCCATTAATATTTACAGGGACAATTATGGAACTATGTGCTTGCAGGTTAAATCAAGAAATGATCAAAGCTGAAGCAAGACATGCCTAGACCTATCATGGTTTTAATGATGACAAC